CTCAATTACCTTGGGATAATTTGACTTATAATTATTAAAAGTTTCATGATGGTGTTATGGTTTTGATTTTAAATGTTCCCCAATAGCTCATGTGTTAAAGTCTTATTCACCAGCCTAAAGCACCATTACAAAGTAGTGGAACCTTTAGGAGGTAGAAATGAGGTCATTGAAGGTATGCCCATTAAAGGAAACAAGGACATCCCTCCTTCTCTCCCTGATTTCTCTCTTTTTCTTTCAACAGGGTCTTACTATGTAGCCTAGCCTGGCCATAAACTCATGGCAATCCTGTCTCAGCCTCCCAGATGCTGTACCACTCTGCATAGCTTCTTTTCTGTTTTCTAGCTGGTTACTTTCAAAGGGAGTATATCTGCCTCACAGGACCTTATTGTAGGTCCCATATGAGAGACTCATGATGGTCTGATGAAATAGCAACTGGCCCCGTATGGATTCCTGCCCAGTAGGTCCCTGAACTTGATAGCTGCCATCTGCCCAGCTCCATCCTCAGGCATAGTAGATATGACTCAACTCTTGAGTGACCAGTCCCAGGATCAGAGTCAGATGCCCAGCCTGGAAGGTGGTCTGTGACCCCATGACTATTTGAACTCCTACTTCTTGTTTATAATACCTTCCTCCCTGTGCCACTGTCAATAAGCCTTGGGATTTCCTACAAAGAGGTACTGGCTCACAAGCCTGGAAAGGCCAGAGGCAGGGCCGCCTTTGGGGCTGACTTAATCCAGGTGCAATTCAATGACACCTATGATGTTCCCTCTGGCACGTGCCATCTGGTTCATCTATGGCTGACTCCTCATAGATGTAAGGAGGCTGCCAGCCAGCCTTAGCTGGTCCCACTTCTTTGAGCCCCTTGGTGGAATAGAGATGCCCTATGACCTCTTGCTGTGCCTTCATAGGCAAGTGAGGTCCCAGGACAGGTGGTGGCAGTGCCCAGGGATCTGTATTCAGACCACTGCCATTTCTTCCTGTGGTTCCAGACTGTCTGTCTGTCTGTCTGTCTCGATCTCTGTCTCCATCTCTCTGTGTGTGTGTGTGTGTGTCCATCCCTTGTGTGTGCATATTTGTGTGGATTGTGCCCTATGGGCAACACAAGGGATATGAAGTTATGATAGAATAATTGTTTCCTTAGCAGAGTGTCTTAGTCCTAGAGCCCATGTATATATTTTGTTACATGGCAAAGAGGAACCACTGGCTTGAGTGTTGCTAATTAGCTGACCCTGAATAAGGAGAGTCCCCTGGATCATCCAGATGGGCTATTTTAATTGCAGAGACCTTAAAAGAGGAGGAGGGAGTCAGAGAAGATATGAGGCAAGGCAGGGCTGTGCTGCTGCTGGCTTCTGAGATGGAAGAAGGGGCTCCAGACCAAGATACAGCAGCAGACTCTGCTGGTAGAAAACAGAGTGCCCCTCTGGACATGAAACTTCATGTCTGGGTATGGTGGCACACATCTATAATTCTAGCACTTGGGAAGCCTCCCAAGGCAGGAGGATTGCAAATTTGAGAGCCACCTGGGTTACACAGCAAGGTGCTCTCTCTCAGAAAACAAAAAGGCAGCTGGGTGTGGTTGCACACACCTTTAGTCCAGCACTTGGGAGGCAGAGGCAGGGGGTAGGCAGAACGCTGAGTTCAAGTCCAGCCTGGTCTACATAGTGAATTCCAGGCCAGTTGGGGCCATAGAGAGACCCTGTTTCAAAAAGACCAAAACAACAAAACAAAACAAAAAACAAAAAAAAAAAAAAAAAACCTGGAAAAAAATGGTGTGCTGCTGTGTTTACACATCTTTCTGTGGAATGAGGGGCTGTGAAGAGCAGGGCCTGACCTTGTGCTGCCCTGGAAGTGGCCACCTGCTGCCACTTGCCCACCTCCCTGCCTGCCTCTGTCCTGGATGCTCACTCTCCTTTTACCCAGCACAGGGACCCTTGTTCAACCAAGACTTAACATTGACTCGCAATATGAAATCCACAATGCAGGTGATCTTTCGTTAGTAAAAATGTATTTTCTAATTTCGTAAGTTTGCAACGAGAGCATTTGCTCATTATAAAGTCGGTCTGAGAACAATGCTGCCTCTGGCTGAACACAAACGGAGTTGGAGTTGTGTGGCTGGCAGCTGCAGTCTTTTATCAGCCCAGCATCCAATTGTGTTTCTTCACTGCGCAGTCCAGCTATCGTGCAGTCACAAAGATAAGAATCTCCGAATAGTAGATGGTTTACAAGGGGCATCCATGCTTCGGGACTGGAACCCCTTCCCCACAGTGAAGGAAAGACTGACAGAAAGATCTCTCTCAATAGTCACCTGGGGAGGGTTCTGAATTACAAATATGCAAGGTAGAGAGAAGCACTCAGAGCTGAAAGTGAACACTAAAGCCAGCAAACACACGCTCTGTGATGCAGAATTAGAGAAACTCATGTCAGACATCTGAGACCTGGATGGCACCTGTGGGAATCAGTCTGAGTCTTGCCAGCTGCTGCCTGCTCTCTAGTGCTGAAGTAGCTGGGGAGGGGGCGGGGGGCTATCTTCCCGGGAGACCACTTTCTCCTCCCTCAGCACTCCCCAGAAAGTTCCGTTCCAACTTCCCCAGAGGAGACTTTGCTATCTGTTGACAGCAATGTTGGCCTAGTCCAGGATGGCACTCAGTATTGGATGATGCCCCAGGGCATCTCCTTATGGTCTTCAGGGGCTACAGACTTGAAGGTGTGTCTTTTCTAGTTCTGTGATAAAAATACCGACCAAAACCAACTTGAAGAGTAAAGAGTTTATTTGGTTTACAACTCACAGTCCATCAACCAAGGGAAGCCAAAGCAGGAGCACAGGCCATGGAGGAACACTGCTTGCTGGCTTGCTCCCCTGGCCTGTGCTCAGTCTGCTTTCTTCTACAATACAGGACCACCTGCCCAGGAGCAGCTCCGCTCACTGTGGGCTCGGCCTCCCATATCACTCAACAGTCAAGAAAATGCCCCAGCGACCAGACCACAGGCCAATTCAATGGGAACAATTCCTCAATTGAGGTTCCCTCTAACCAGGTGTGTCAAGTTGACCACTAAGTTATCTAGCACAGGGAGTCCTTATTACCATGGGAAGAAATTAGAACCAGCTTAAACCACATTTACATTGCTCCCTGAAATCTGAGGTTTCCTGAGGTCCAAGGTTTTGCACTTTGCCTTGGGAACTGCTGATTAGGATGACAGTAATAACACCTCAGCTAAAGCATGTGTATAGTTTTGGTGTTTAACACATATTTCGCTCAGCATTTTCTCCCAGTCTGCACACTAACCCCGTAAAGTATAGAGGGTTTTCCTTCCCATTCTGCATATGAGGAAAGTAAGATCTGGCAAGTTCTCTTGCCCTTGGTCCAGGCTGGCCAAGTGGCTGGGCTAGACGAGAGCCCTGAGCCCATTCATTCAGATGTGCCATCATAGTCAGGTGACAGACAGTTTTTAACATGTTCAGGTGGGCGAGCAGGCACAGGGATTCTGTGAAGAGTAACTCAGGCAGGCAGAGATCCTGTAGATCCTGGACCCTGGCTGCTGCCAATTGGAGGAACAGCTCTGTCTTGCCAGGAACCTGCATACAATGACCCTCCATTAAGGGGTAGAATGAGTCCACTGGAACTCAGGGTCCCAACCAGGCTCTGAGACCAAGCCCATGGCTTAGAAATGTTCTCTGTTCTGGTCACCCAAAGATCCATCCATGTTCCAGATACTTCAACAGGGACTTAGGGTGTGACCTCCAGGAGACAGACATGGCCCCTGCCTCCCAGAGTGTAGCCTTTTAGGAGAGCATCTATATTGGGTCCCCAGGATTCCCACGTTGGTGTCAGAAACCAGTTCCAAGTGACTCCAGTTTTATTGAGCATGCCAGGGATAGCAGTTGGAACCTGGAAACACCAGCTCACAGTTCTCAGTCAGTGTGCACCAGTGAGGTGCCGTCTCATGCAATGAGAGCTGCCTCATGCAGGGTTTGCCTCGCTCTGGGAAGATCCTAGGGAATCTACCCTACTTACAAAGGGGCCTCACATGTGGATCTCTTGAGAAGCAGCCACCAAATGGATCTGCAGCATTGACCCAGAAATATAGATGAAAGCAAAATATATGGCACTTTGTGTGCCTTTGCACATCACCCCTAAAACATACCTGGGAGGGACTCACTGTGCACAGCTGGAGTAATGGTTCACCTCACCCTTCCAACAGGGGAGGGATGGAAAGGCAGCAGGTAGCTAGTGGGTGCCATTTTTCACTCAGACCCTGCTCTGACCCTGGGTCCCGGAGGTTAGGTCTGTTTTGTTCAGCTAGTACCAACCTGCAGAAGGTCCTGTGCAGCTGAGAGCTGGACAGAGGCACTGAGCAATTCTTCCCTGGATACCCAATGCCAACCCTGAGGAGCCTTCTGTGTCTAGGACACAGGCTCAGCAGGCAGAATGTTCTGCTCACTGTGGACTGTGAAACAGAGCTGGGTTCTGGGTATGAGAATGTGGCCATAGCTAGGCCCACAGTGGGCAGGCACTGTGGCTGCAGGTCCAGGCAATTCTGATGCAAAGACTGAGCTGGGATACTGCTCTAAGAGAACATTTATTTGGAGATGACTCATCTACCCAGGCCCATGCTCCTCCCTCTTTCAGGTGTTCATCGCTTAGTTATAACTTTTCTGTTCTCAGTGGTGAATCCTGTGCTTAAGCCATGTGACCAGACTGATCATGATGCCACAGAGAGGCATCAGTTTTCCTACTCCAGGGCCTCTGCCTAGCCTTTCCCATGACTGCGTCATCAAAAGCACCCATGGGTTGGCATGGAAGTGTTCTCTAGTCCCTAGCAGAGCAGGGCACCTCCCTCCTCTGCACTCCTGTGTCCCACCCCCACCATGCAATCCACTGTCTGCTCTGTACTGTCCTATCTACCTTACCAGGCTAGGAGGCCCCCGATAGAAGACCCTGTGCCCTCCCCCTGCCACTGCCCAGTGCGGCTTTGCACAGGGGCCATTATGCATGCAATGTGAAAAGCCAGCACCACATCGGATGCCGGACCTTATATTTTGAGGCCTGGCTGCCAGGCTGTGGGTCTTCTAGCTGTGGTTCCTCATCTTTGGCCTCAGTGCTCACCACCTTCCTCAACCAGATCTGAAGGTGGTGGGATGAGGTCTCGGGGATTCATTCTGGCCACCATGCAGACATCATAGCTGTCATGCATGAGGACATTGATGGCAACAACATTCCACTGGTTTTCCCAAGGGTCCAGCTCCAGAATCTCTTTGGAGATAACCTCATGGCGATCTGAAAGACAGCAAAGTAGGAAGAAAAAAACCATTGGGGAATTAAGTACAAAGGCTGTCATCACTGTACCCAACCACGTCTTCTTTGAGCATCAAGGATTACTTAACAACCAACCAAGTAAGATACTTTAGGGCAGTGTAAGATACTGTCTTGATATTTAAGGATATAAGGAAGACTATGATGTAGTTCAGATTTTTCAAAAACTAAGAATGGTAAAGACCTCTTGTTGCCCTTGCTGAGGACCTGGGTTCAGGTCTCAGCACTCACATGGTAACTCCACTTCCATGGGATCCAATGCCCCCTTCTGTCCTCTGCAGGCACCAGGCACTGCATGCATATTGTGCACTAACATACATGCAGGCACTCACACATACACATAAAATAAAAGTAAATAAATCTTTAAAAAATTATATAAGGGGCTGGAGAAATGGGTTAGTGGTTAAGAACACTGGATACTCTTTTAGAGGATCTGGATTTGGTTCCCAGCACCCACATGGTGGCTAACAATTGTCTGTCACTCCAGTTCCAAGGGATCTGATGCCTTTTGACCTCTGAGGGCATTACACAACACAGGTGCACTTACACAAGTGCACTTATACATATGCAGAAAATACACTCATAGACAGAAAATAGAAATAATAAATAAAATATTTCTATTTTCTGTATATGAGTGTATTGCCTATATGTATGTGAATGCACCTGTGTTGTGCAATGCCACGAAGGTCAGAAGAGGGCTTCAGATTCCCCTGGAACTGGAGTTAAGGATGGTTCGTAGCTGCCATGTGGGTGCTGGGAATCAAACCCAGGTCCTCTGCAAGAGCAATCAGTGCTCTTAACTGCTGAGCCATCTCTCCAGCCCCCCAATATTTAAAAAAAATTATCTAAGTATTAGGCAGAGTCAGGTAGATCTTTGTGAGTTTGAGGCCAGCCTGATCTGCATAGGGAGTTCCAGGCCAGCCAGGGCTACATGGTGAGACCCTGTTTTAAAAAATAATCAATAAACCCACTAAACAAACAAACAAACAATCTAAATATTAACAGAGTCCACCATTGTCTCAATTTGAAAGGATGTTTCAATACCACTCTGAAGACTGGATGGAGCAAAGGGAAAAACTGTCCCAATCTCTGAATCTCTGTACCCAGGAGAGAAGGCATAGCCCGAGTACTGGAAGTGACTCAGCCACTGCCTTTCCTGGGCTTATGTTCCAGACAGGGATGCTGACACTCAGCCAGGATGTGTGCCATTCGCTGACAGCGTAAGGACCCTGCACAGCTTGAAGAGAACTCAGTAAAGAAGGGAGCTTGAGGAAGGTGTAGGGAGCGTTTAGGGAGACCTGCCATTGATGGCACAGTGTACCAGGACTGACATCAGGGGCCTGTAAAGGAGGGCCACTGAGACTTCCAGAGGGGAACTCTCTGGAGAGTGTGGCCTGGAGGTTGATGGAGATAGAGGAGGATAGATGTGGTCACACTTGGCAGGGCTGCAGTGCAGGGATAAATACCCTGTGCTCTGTGTATCTTTACATGATAGTCAGGTGGGCATGGCCATGAGAAGTCAGAGGAGGAAAATAACCAGGTCCTAAAGGATGGTCAGAAAGCAGAAGACAGGAGGGAACATGTTAGCCCTCCCTCCAAAATCAGGATCTGTCTGTACCATATGTAGATGTTTTTTAATGCAAGGTATTTTCTAATTGATTTTCCCCATATTCTTTACTGCAAGATATTTAAAATATCTTTTATTTCTTTTTGTGTGTTTGTTTTGGTAAAGACTGCTTTGTTGGTGGCAGTTAGTACAAGTCAATAAATATTGATCCCCAAAGAGCTCAATTACTCATTAGATTACTGGCCCATAGACAGGTAAATGAACCTGAACTAAGTGATGACTGAAGACAGTCCTGCTTCTTGGGAAATGAAGCTACAGTCAACTGGCATATGGCATATGCTGTTCCACCAGCTGTAAGAGCCATTGTGAGTCTAACAGGAGGGCATCGGGTTCCCCACCCTTCAGATGCACTAGGACTTGCACTATCCTCCTGAAATGGCTTTTATTTCTCTGGAACTTTATTTTCAAAATGCCCATGTGAAGCAGTGCCGATAGTCCTGCTGATAGGATTTGATGAAGAGCCAGCACATTCCCCAGCATCTTGGGTCACTTGCAGTCCACCAACCATGACAACTGAACACCCAAAATGAAAACTACCACCTCAGAAATGGAACTCGCCTCCTGGCACTGCTTTTTATTCCTTTTAAATAAAATAATCTCAATTTTGTTTCTTCTAAAATGTTTTCAAACTATATGAAATAGAATCCTTAAACTTTTACACAGTAACTATTTTTTTCTTTTTTTAAAATTTTATTATTTTTATTTTATGTGTATGCGTGTATTGCCTGCATGTAGGTAAGTGCGCCTGTGTTGTACAATGCCCATGGAGGTCAGAAGAGGCTGTCGGATCCCCTGGGACTGGAGTTCCCCACAGTAACTATTTTTATAAATAAAAATTTAATTTTACAATAGTAGACTTTTTTTTTCTTTTTGGTCTTTTTGAGACAGGGTCTCCCTGTAGCCCCAATTGTCCTGGAACTCACTATGTAGATCAGGCTGGCTTTGAACTCACAGAGCTACACCTGCCTCTGCCTCCCGAGTGCTGGGATTAAAGGCGTGTGCCACCATGCCCAGCCCAGTAGAATATTTTTTATAGACAGGAATAAGATTTTCTTAGAGAAAGGCTCTTTCTACATAAAATAAAAATTCATAAAACCCTTTGGCAGAGCTTTAGCCTAATACCTGTTCTTTCCAGCAGGTGGTGATAGCACAATAGCTATTTTAAAGTGAAAATGCAAAAATCCAGGGTTGCCTGCTTTGTATTTCTGTGCCCCCCCCCCTTACTGGAGATTCCCAGAACCTAGAGCCTTGCAGGTGTTGCACATGTTAGGTAGGTGCTCTAACACTGAGCTACACTCCAGCCCTGAATACCTTTCTGAAAATTCATGCTTGGAGATAAAACACATCTGTTTAGCCACTCACTCTTCTGTTCACTAGTCTATACACCTGCTGTAAGCCCGCGCTGTGTTGGGTAATGGTCCTCAGTGGACACCTGTCAGGCCATAGCTGGCCTCCAGGACAGGCTACCTCTCCTGGAAGGGCAGCCTGGTGGCCATGTGCCTATCTACTGCACCTATGACTGATGGCTCCTGGGTGGATATGGACTCAAGGCTACAGATAGCTGATATGCAGCCTGGGCACCAAGGACTGATGCAAAAGAGGTGGGCTGAGTCAATTGCATTCACTCTTTCTGAGATTTTAGCCTGAGAATGAGGCCAGTCATGTGTGACTGAGAATCAGAAGGGTGATTACCTAGACACTACTATATGGCCCTTTGAATAAAAATTCCTGACCTCTGGTGTACATCAAAGCCAGAAGGGTCAAAATGGACTGTGTCCAAGCCAAGAAAATGAAAATCAGAAACCTCGGTCGGGTAGGCCATGCACTTAGGCTGAGCTCTATGGTGCCTCAGCTCCCTTAGGACACTGAGGCTGGGCATGGGTGGGAGGGTCAGCTGGGCAGGGGTATGCCTCCTCATTTAGGCCTGCTCAGAGACTGGGCCTCCACTGGAGATGTTTGCAGGTAAAGCACTGTATTGACAGAAGGTTGAAGACCACCAGGCAGAGGTCAACAGAGGGAAAAGTGACAGGCCTGAGAGATGAGGAATACAAGACATGAAGTGTGGAAGGCACTAGGCTAAGATCCAGGGCAGCTTTACTGGTGTTCTGATGTTTGGAGATCACTGCCTATTCTAGTCTGTTCTGAGGATAGGTGAGTTGTGGTTTTCAACCTGGATCCCTGTGCTCAGGCACCTAGGAAGAAAGAACTTCAATTGAGAAAATTCCTCTATCTCACTAGCCTGTGGGCTTGTCTGTGGGGCATTTTCTTGATTGCTAACTGACGTAGGAGGGCCCAGCCCACTGTGGGCGGTGCCATCCATGGGCAGGTGGGCCTGGACTGAATAAGAGAAGTAGCTGAGAATGGGCCAGGGGGAGCAAGCCAGGAAGCAGTGTTCCTCCAAAGTCTCTGCTTTGTTCCTGTCTCCAGGTTCCTCTTGAGCTCCTGCTCTGACTTCCCTCAATGATGGACCGTCACTTGGAAGAGTAAGATGAAGTAAACTCTTTCTTCCCCAAGTTGCTTTTGGTCATGATTTTATCACAGCATCTGAGAAGCAAACTAGAATAGTAGGTAGTTTTGGACAAATGACTTCATTGCTCTGTGCCTCTTTTTCCTCCTCTGTAACATGGGCCTTAGAGTATGGACTCAAAGGTGTCATGAGTGACTGCATGCACATCACAGGTGAGCCCCAAGAGCAGTCTGGTGCATCCAGAGACAGGATGCTATTATGAATGCAGCTACCCTCCGTATCAACTGGTTCTGCATCTGTGAACTCAACCAACCTGGACCCAAAATATGCAAAAAAAAAAAAAAAAAAAAAAAAAAAAAAGGCAACTACATCTCTACTGAGCATGCGCAAACTTTTCTCTTGTTATTTCCTAAACACACAGCATAAGAACAATCCACACAGCATTACAATGTGTTGGGTGATACAAATAATCTAGAAACATTTAGAGCCCAGCTTCTTAAACTGTGGGTCATGACTCTACTAAATGAGGTCACAGAACTGAATGTTCTGGTTGTGAAAAATTTGGCCATAGTAAAAGCTTTCTAAATGCCCAGTGACTAAAAATTAATTCAAAGTCAGGTGCATAGTGAACATGAGTGTTTCAGGGGTGCTTACCTGTGTTGTACTGTGTGATGTAACTACAACCCTGGCTCTGAGCACACAACACTGTGCACTTTGCTGTCACCATCCCAGGTAGTGCCTCAAATTGTGTATTATGTGTTATAAATTGCAGTGCTTTTACTGCACACACACTTTCTGCTCTTATAGAAACACAATAGCTTAATTATAGAAAAATTTAAAAAATATTTTCCTACCATCGTATCACAGCAC